CCCCCCCCCAAAATGAAAATCCTAGAATCGAGAACGTGTTAGAACGAGCTGTTTTAGGTAGGGGTGGCTGACTCTTAACTTTTATAAAGAATATTGAGGTGAACCACAACAACAACAAAAACTGAAAAAGTACGTTGTGTGATCTCATCTAATTCGTGAAGTTTGGAGCTTATAGGAGATAGAGGACTGAAGTTTGACCCTATGCTTGACTCATGAAGAGCTCTGGCTCCACCTGCTGCTCCACTGGAGACTTCAGCCACACTGGCAGGGGAAACGTTTCAACAGACATTCTGACAAACTTACTAACAGAATAACCTAGCAAGTATGCTCCTACAAGTAGATTCTCACAGACGCAGACTTGAGTAATTTCTACTGTTTTAGTTGTTTTACCTGAGTCCATGGCAGCTCTGAGTCCAGGAAGTGACAGCGACGTCTCTAGGTTCAATCAAGCAAAGAAAGGCATGAGGTTATGACCACAACTTTGTCATTGCATAGTAAGGATTTTTATGTATTTATTTATTTTTGACACAATTACATATTCTTCCTTTGGGAATATTTTAGTACACGTAACTGAAATGAATTCTGAAAATGAAATTCTTTCCTTTTGCACAACTTGGTGTAAGGTTTTTTCTTCCTGATCAAATCCATTAGTTTATTCCTAAACCTAAAGTACAAGCAAGTGCATAAGGTTTATTTAATTTACTAACATTTTATCTTTTACGCTTAAGCCATATGCACATAAGTTTATTGATTTAATATCAGCAACATGTATTTTAAAATAATCTATTACTTTAAAGCAAGGAATTGAGAGGCAAAAATTATGCCAACAAACTATTAAGTAAGCCATTCATTCTTTTTCCATTTTAACAAATTTAGTGGGTAAATAGCAAGCTGTAACATCTAAACAAATTAATAACAATCATAAAAATCTCAATTTCCAGTCGCATTAAGATTAAATTCAATAGTATCTCTCTCTATATATAAACAAACACACACAGACATACACACTGCATGCACATAAAGCACAGGTCCAATAACAATGTTAACATATCTTTTACTTGTGGAGTATCATATTATACAAAATGACAAGACTTACAGTCAGTGTATTGATATAAACTGATCATTGCTGTGACATCTACAGATCATTAATATACTGTATGTAAATAAGCCTACAGTGTGAGACTTGGAGAACAGAACGATTAGCATATCAACGGATTCCAGCTACAACTGCCTTCTGTGATTGAGCACTTCCACTAAAGTCAGAGCAAATCAGAACAGGTAAGACCATATAAACAACTGACGAATAATTATTTACAAGATTTGACCTCCAAACATTTCATCCCAGTGATTATACCAATTACGTACTTTTCAGTATACTGAAAAATAGCAGCAAATGCTTGTGGAACTCGTAGTGGAGAAGGAAGGGTCCATGAAAAACCTCTCATTTGCAGTAACCACTGGCACAGACTGCGAGTGATTTTTTTCCTTTCATTGTATCACAGTGAATAACATTTTAGCTTGTTTACATGGTCCAAGTCTTTCGCAGTTTTCATATAGTATGAGCCAGTGGGTGACCGAGGTCTCAGCTGCTCCTGTGTCTCACATAACATCTAACACAACACAGTGAAGCACACTTAAGAACTGCACTTACACACTACACAGTACACCCAGTGAAATATTTCAACTAAACAGTAGATGACAAATTACACTGTAGTAACATGTTATGTTGTAATATGTCCATGTATATTTAAAATCTTATATGAGCTATTAATACTTTTTAATCACAGCAAGAATGCATTAAATTGAGCTGAAATTACAGTAAATATATTCATAACGTTACAAAAGATTTCCATTTTAAATACTGTTCTATTCATCAGAGAATCTACAGCAATAATAAGAAATGTTTCTTGAACACCACATTTGGAAGGATTATGCAACACCGAAGACTGGAGTAATGGCTGCTGAAAATTCAGCTTTGGAATAAATTACAATTTAAAAATGTATTAAAACAGAAAACAGTTCTTTAAAAAAAAAGTAACTATTTAACCGTATTCCTGTTTTTACTGTATTTTTGATCAAATAAAACCTTGGTGAGCATAAGAATGATCAAAACATTAAACAAATCTACAAAGCTAGTAGATTTAATTGAATACACTACTTTCGAGTGGCTCTCAGTGGAGAAACACCCACAAAAATGGTGACTCCTCTTGGTTTTTATCATCTACCAAGTTGAAAATGGTAAATCTGATTGCTTAGGAAAGTAGTAGGACAACTGTCCTCAACAGAGCAGAGATGAAACAAACCTTGTGGCAATCACATTGTGAGTGAGAGAGAGATGGGGGAGTGAGGAAATAGCAGCCCCTTCAGGATGGTGAGATGATGACATCTTTGCTGTATAGTCAAGGAGGCCGTTAGTAAAGGTGCCAGACTGCTAGATGTGAGAGAGGAAGCAGGGGGACAGTCAGAAATGTGAGAAGTGAGGGTAATGAAAATGTACACTCCATTGAACATGTGGCATGATATAGTGAGTCATCATCATCTGCTGCAATATGAAAGCTTCTTCTAAATCTATATAAATCTACAGAGTGCATCTACACAGCTGCAGAGAAATATGAAGAGGCATCCCTGTGCAAACGCTTAGATAAAGTTGCTGTTCTTCTACAGTGATGCATGGATCTGTGTCCGGAGTCCTCACCAGGAAAACAGCTAAAACTCTACAGTCAGTTGGGAGGTACTGTTAAATCGTACTAAATGTATCATATTCAGAGTATGCAATCAATCCATTATCAGATTTCATTTTCATGTAATATCTTCATCAAAATGAGTAAAGAGGTCAACTCACTATAGGTGTTGAAGCTGGAATGATCCATCGAGGAGTGATTGTGGGTTTGGGAGCTGGCACCTATGTCAAATCAAAAATGTTAATACTTCAATGATGTGAAAACACCTAAAGAGAACAGGCATTATTGTGCCATACAGTCAATTATAGAATCAAACTTTTGCTTACTACAAGCATTACAAGCATATCGTGAGTGGCAGTGCTGAACTTACTACAGGGATGGGTTCTGTGAAGTCTATCAGGTTATCAGTCAGAGGGGCTGTCAACAGCTCAGGATCCTGAACTTTGACCTGCATTGTAAAAAGCCACATGCTCTAAAGCGTAAGCCAACCAAAAGCACATTCAATGACTAGATCTGCATTTCCTGCAGGATGTGTCAATGCCGACAAGACATCACAAAAAGTGATGCTTTTGTAATTATTTGAAATCAAAAACCTAAAGGGAGAATATTTAACATAAATGGATAAAAATATAAGTAAATAGTAAATGTGGCATTGTGAGGTGAATGTAAAGTGGCCCAAGTCCAAAGAACCCACTCTCAAGTTTCTATGATATTCTATTTTTTTTTTTTTTATGGTTTCATTAACTTAATATTATAGTCATAATAGTTGTATGTTATTACCCAGAAATAAGTGCACTTTGAGTTCCATCATCCCCAAGTCAATGGGGTTTTGGTTATACGCCTGAAGTGAGGTCTATGGTTAACAAAAGGTCAACCACGTTTTATTCTATAACAAAATAAATTCAGTAATAAACTACTGTAATAATTGTATTTAGGCTTCAAAATTTACCAAATTTGTGGTTATTTGTGAAGATTACCATGATAAACATTTAAATACCATAAAAATGTATTGGTCACATATTTATCTGCCAAGGGAAAAATTCCTCATGGCTTTTTGTAGAGGGAACTAGGGGGATATTAACTAGTGGTTGTCATGCCTGCAGCACTCTATTGACAATCCTGATGAACCACTGAGCAAACAGCAAAACCTCAATACACTGTTATGAACGTTTGACAGGCAAAGAAAATAAAAGTGATGTTGTGCTGGATTTATTTTCCTTGTAAAGGAGAGCATGTTTCAGTCATGAGTGAGTAAATGATAGTGTATATATTGACAGCTGCTGTGGACTCTTGTTACACTGTGCCAGCAGCTGGAATGGCATTAAGCCACTTCTGTTACCTTGGATGACTGGGCTTCATTCACTGGATCTGATGACAGAAGCGGCACAGAAGAGATGAAGTCATCTGCGTTCTCTTCCAGGCTGAGGACAGACAATGACTTGAATGAGCACTATTCATGAACAAATGCACTTCAAGTCTTTTTTTCCTGACTGAATCTTGAAGCTACTATATATAGGCGCGTTTCCATTACCCTTCAAATTGCGCAAATTGAAATTGATACTATTAATACTTAAGACAATTTACACTGCACACGTCTGCGGTGCAGTGTGGCTCTGATACGGTCACTGAAGCTGATTACGGCCACTCAATGCTTGTGTTTATGTTTTTATGCAGGCTATGGTTTATTCCAGCCGCGCCACGCACGTTTCTGAAGCGGCTCTCTTTGCTGCTTCTGTAGAGATACATGCATAAGCCTCCTTCGAATAAATATAGCCAAAATCCGTCAAAATCCGTTGCCATGACTTATCGCGAGAGGCAAAAGGTTACGTTTTAGCCGTCATTTCGCAATAATTTTTTTATCGACATTCAGAAAATATCGCCAAAGTTTTGCGCAAATCTGTAATGGAAACGCGCCTTATGATAAAACAATGGTGGCTGTAGCTGTGGATGAAAATGTTCTTGTCCCTCTTTCCTGACCAAAAAAAATAAATAATAATATATATATATATATATATATATATATATATAGCAGGCTATGGTTTATTCCAGCCGCGCCACGCACGTTTCTGAAGCGGCTCTCTTTGCTGCTTCTGTAAAGATACATACATAAGCCTCCTTCGAATAAATATAGCCAAAATCCGTTGCCATGACTTATCGCGAGAGGCAAAAGGTTACGTTTTAGCCGTCATTTCGCAATAATTTTTTTATCGACATTCAGAAAATATCGCCAAAGTTTTGCGCAAATCTGTAATGGAAACGCGCCTTATGATAAAACAATGGTGGCTGTAGCTGTGGATGAAAATGTTCTTGTCCCTCTTTCCTGACCAAAAAAAATAAATAATAATATATATATATATATATATATATATATATAAGTATTCAGATCTTTTCAACAGTGATGGAGCATGTCTGAGAAGAGCTCTGGACACAAACCTTTTGATTTTGAGCACTGGAAATGAGCACAAAGACATTGAAAACCTTTGAGCATTTCAAAGCACCTCTCAAGCTATTCATTAGTGTTCATTTAAAGGAAATCACACAGGAAATCACAATGTTCACCCTTGAATGAAACCTTATGAACACCTCTTATGAAGTGTTTGAGGAAATGACTTGGGGTCACTTTGTGACTACTGTCGATTATGGGTTTGTGTGTGTGTATTTGGACGCCTTCCAGAGAGTCCTGACAAAATGTGTACCATTGTAAAGGTACAAATTATTTACACATTTGACAGATGATTGTGCCAGTGTGTGTCTGTGTTCCCTGTGAATCAAACCCATAATTCTGGTGTCTACAAATTGAGCATCTGATGTAGGCATCAGTAGTGAATTATCATTTAATCTTTGGTTCCTTTCCATAATACCTCATTTTCATACTGTATATAATTTTAACCATCAGCCACATAATGTTTATTTGATTCTACAGACATCTAATTGTAAATGTGATGTTAAACGGAGAAAAAAATCTTACACATTAAGACACTCATTTGACATGTTTCTTTTATCACGTGACTATCAGAGCTGAACGGTTGCAGCCAGGTCAGTGTACACAGCTAATCGTGCAGTCAATCTGTGGCATGAGTACATGTGGTTACATAAGAACATGTTTCCAGGCAGACCACAGCCATATGACCCATCTGTAACTACATATCAACAGTTGACACTAGATGGCAACAGTGAGCTTTTAATCACAGGCTACATTAATGAATGTTCTGGCCTCAATACAAGGAACAGTCTATGGACATGATCTGTGAAATGCTGTCAATTAGAAAAAGAAAATAATTTATCATTTATTTTAAAGTAGCAACTGAAACATCTCAGTCTAGCTTTTAGGACACAGAAGTGCACAAATTTGCTCTACCTCTTTGGAAACATTCTTACTTGTTAACATACACTACTGTTGAAAAGTTGAAAAGGGTCAGCAAGTCTGTCCTGCTTACCAAGGCTGCATTTATTTGATCAAAAATACAGTAAAAACAATAATATTGCAAAATATTATTACAAACTGTTGTCTATTTTAATATTTTAAAGTGCAAAATGTATATTCCGCAGCCATTATTCCTGTGATGGGAAAGCTGAATTATCAGCAGTCATTACTCAAGGCTTCAGTGTCACATGATTCTCCAGAAATCATTCTAATATGCTGATTTAGTGCTCAATAAACATCTTTTTACTTCTAATTACCAATGTTTAAACTTTTGTAACATTATATTTTGTCACATTGTTGCATTAATTCGTTTTTCGCACAAATTCTCACACAGTAATGTAAAATTCAATGTCGCAATGAAACAAAAAGGGTCAAAATAAAGGCTTGTTTTGTTTAATTTACTTATTGCAATAATGTTCCACAAGTTTGGAGTGAACAGGACAGGACAGATATGGCAGGATATATTATTTGGTTTAATCCTACAAAAAAATAACAGCATAAAAGATTTAATTCTAACTGTAACAAACATCTTAAACATTTGTGCTGCTTAATATTTTTGTCCATTTATTATTTAAAAGAATAGCATTTATTTGAAATTAAATACATTTAAGTTTTATCTGTCCTTCTCATCAATTTATGAGTACTTGCTAAATGAAAGGAAAAAAAAAAGACAAAACATGACCCCAAACTTTTGAATGGTAGTGTAAGATCATATACTGTACAAAATAAATAAAACGTCCTGGCTTGTTGATGGGAGGACCAGGTGGCCCCTTTAATCTGGGTGTTCCCCAGCTTCTGCCTGCCTGCTTGTGCTCCACTGCCTCAGACTCTGTCCCAGGAGGATTACAGGCCCACAGGCTCACTCACATGGCCCTACTATGTCTAAATCCACACACTCAAACAACAAAGCAATTCTTCTTTGTAGTACAATCTTCTCACTGTACTTGGGAGTAGGTTTTGTCTGCTGTGGACTCACCTGCTGGTAGAGCAGGGCAGCAGGCCGGGCTGCTTGAGCAAGTCCCAGGACTCCTGGCGCTCTGCTCTCCCACTCACTGGCAAAGAGGATGTGCTTCCCATACGCCCCCCACGACCCATCAGTCTGATAAAAGAGACAGACAGGCATTACCACCCACCATTCACATATTTTCATTATTAAAAAATAATTTTAAATAACTATGTAACAATGTAAATGTTTGTGCCCAACTGTTACAGCAAGACAAATGCACTATATTGTATTGTACGTATTGGACACCCCTTCTAATGAACAGGTTTGACAACTTTAGCCATTTCCATGAGTCCAAATCTCATGTAATCAGCATGTAATGATATTCTAGGGATGATATTAATGATATTTTGGCTCCAGGTCTGCATTTAAAGTCACACCAGAGGTGTTCAGCTGGGATTAGGACTTGGCTTTCTGCAGACAGTCAGGTTCTTCCACACTGACTGGATCAATCATTTCTTTTTGAACCTTGCCTTATACACAGAGGCACTGTCATGTTAGAATAGAAAAGGCTCCTGTCCAAACTGCTATAAAATTAGGAGCACACAATTCCCCAGAATATCATTACATGCTTATAAGGGTGTATTCACACCTGTCTTGTTTGGTTCGATTGAATCGAACTCAAGTTCATTTCCCCCTTGGTGCGGATCTTTTGGGCAGGTGTGAATACAGTAATCGCACTCGGGTGCGGACCAAACAACCATACCGAGACCCAGCTGAAGAGGTGGTCTCGGTCCGGTTCCAAACAAACTCTGGTACGGTTGAATGGATGAACCAATGAATGGATGACCTTTAGCACACGTGTTGTTTTGTTTACAATTTCTGGTTCACTTGCAAAAAGAGCAGTGTGAATGCGAACCGCACCAAACTAAAGAAATCAACATTGTATTTGGTCCAGACCAAAGCAAGTGAACTAGCGGACTTTCCTGGTGTGAATACACCTTAAGATTTGTACACATGGAAATGACTAAAGTAGTCAAACCTGTTCATTAGAAGGGGGTGTCCCAATACTTTTGGCAATATAGTGTACATCATACCTGGCTGCTGCCTCCTGCAGGTTACAGTTCTTGTCTGGAATCAGTCCAAGCTCATCTCTAGAATCCTAAACAAAGAGATGAACATTTACAAAACATATAAAAGAACTTTATGCATCATTTTCAGAGTACCTGACGTTAACACGTTGAGGTCGTAAACCATGTACGTAGACATTAAATAAGACACTCTTCCTTTGAGGAAGATAAGCAGCCAACTGAACTGTCCGAGTGGAGATTAATATTAACATCACGTGTAAATGGGGCATATGACAGTGATACATATGATACCTTGAGCGCTGCCTCTGCCTGAGCTTTCAGGATGTTGCTCTTGAGTTCCTCAGGACATTTGAGCTGGTTCAGGACAGGACTGCTGCCCACACTATTCAAACTTTTCTCTCTCAGTTTCACCACTTCCTCCTGCACACAAACCAAAGCATGTGTTCTTCTGATTATGAATTTGTTTGCACTGTGTTTCAGTCTCTTTGCTTAAATAAACATAGTCCAGGCTGAAATAATCATCAGCTCTTTATAGCATAATACCTTAAATGGCACTGAGCTGGAAAAAATATAGATCAAAGACTGCTGTAATAGCATGAGTAATCACCTTCCCTATTCACATTTAATTTAAAGTACATCCTGAGGTTACTGCTCCTTGTATTTAAAGTTTATGTCAAGCTTTAATAAGATGCGGTGTGTGGAGGGGGGACATATTGCAAAAACACACCGTGTGCGTGTGTGGGGCTTTTGAATGGCTGAACTGACCTGGTTGTTCATGTTGAGGTTGACGTTTGTTCTGGCTGAAGCAGACACTGGAGTGTTTTCAATATCTAGTTGCTTGAGCCGAGCTGCAGCCTCTGAGGACGAGAACAGATTCATTAAACAATGAGAGGTCAGAAGAGAGATGGAAACACATCTGCATGTGTGGGGATTAAAACATGTTCACTCTGGAGATAATCAGATCACACAATAGATAGGCAGAGCATGAAAATACCATAACTATAAAGACAATAATCAAATAATAGATTAAGTAAAATAATGCAAGTTGTACTTTGTTTCATAAAAGCATGCAGACGTACATTTTTTTAATATTTATTATTTTAAATAAAAGAGATAATGAATTTAAATATATACATTTATATACTCTACCATTCAAAAGAAATGGTCAGTAACATTAATAAAAATGTTTTTAAAGAAGTCCTTATGTTCAACAAAACTGCATTTGTGTGATCAAAACCAAGTAAAATCAGCACTGTTGTGAAATATTATTACCATTTAAAAAAAAAACGTTCTCTATTTGAATATATTTTAAAATGTAATTTATTACTGTGATGCAAAGCTGACTTTTTAGCTGTCATTACTTTAGTCTTCAGTGTCACATGATCATTCAAAACCATTCAAATAAGCTGATTTAGTGCTCAAGAGACCTAACTTATCATCAATGTTGAAAACAGATGTGCTGCCTAATAATATTGTGGAAATCATAATACATTTATATAGGATTCTTTGATGAAAGTCCTTATTGTCATCTGTGATCCGTTTAAAGCCTCCTTGCTAAATAAAAGTATTAATTTCTTTATAAAAAAAAAATAAATTTACTGCCGACTGCCTCCAAACTTTTGAACGGTAGTGTATTTGGGATTGGTACTAGCCAATACAGTTTTATTTATTATTCTGAAGTGGAGTATTCTTGAAGCAGACAATATTAGTGTTTACTTTTTACCCAGTTAAAAATACAAACTCTTTTTGTGTTTCAGGTTACAAAAGCACATTTATAACATTTATAATGTATATTATAAAATAGTTTGGATGTAAATTTTTTTTATAATTGTTGTGAACAAATAAATAAATACATTTAATTATGACAAAAAAAATATGCAAGACAAACACTTGCATAAAACAAAAATTTCATCCCACTCTATCTGCAATGTATTTTCTCACCGGTCAGAGAGAGGGCCTCCTCTGTGGCTGTGCTGGTGGTGGTATGAGCAGCACCTGGTCCCACTTCTTCTGCTGTCACCATGGGAACAGGGGCACGAAGAACCTCATCTACGCACGTCTCCAAGAGGTCAGTCACCAAGGGCATGCTGTGAAGGATGAAAGGGTTAATTACCATCTGTCAATTACAGGATGTAACCCTGTATATGCTGCTCGAACAGGGTCCACATTGGTAGATATATGACAAATGTGACTCACCTGGACAAAAATGCTTGAGGCCGGGCCAAGACTCAAGTTACAGCAATGCAATAGCAAAAAAGGTTAGCAAATTAAAAATTCAAGAAAAGTAAAATAAAAAAAAAAAAAAAAAAAAACACTAAAAGATAGTGTACTCAAAAGCAGATGGGTGTTGGGCGATGGTTGGGCAATGAATATGTATTTCTATATCTGATGTATTGCACAACCCTAACGGCATAATCAAGCCTTTACAATCAAAAATGAGCAGAGACAGTCATTACTGAAGAACACAAAAGGAACGGAACCATTATCTAACACAGTCATATGCCAACTGACCACACACATTCCACTAGATCTAGATTAAAAGACCACACACGCACATTAGTAATGCCTGTACTAGAATCACACAAAGCAATGTATTCCTCCCCTTCCTGACTAAAATGATGGAGGGAACAGAGTCACATCCCATAAATGACTAGAATGAGATTGACTTTCAAAGGAGGCTTAATAATGGACACGTCACCCCTTGCCATGCTGACTAAAACCACTTTGCACTTTCCAGTATTCAGTGTTTGTATAAACCAAGTAAAATAAAAAACTTCCACCTTACGACATGGCCAAGTTTGTCATTTACAGAAATGTACAGTAAAAACCTCAAGAGAAACTGAAACATGCAATGGGGAGTTGCTTCTGTTTGTTCATTTTAATCAAACGTCTTAAAGCCATGTAAGATGCATACGTCCTTTGATTATAGTACTGTAGACAAATCTAAAAACAGTGTATACTGCACTACACATTGTCAAGTGGATAAAACAAAAAAATGCCCAAATAACCAAATGAGAACTCATGACAATTCAATAATCAGATCATTATGATCACACAAAGACATACTGAAATAAGATATATAATTATAATGGCACTTTCCACAAATAAGAAAATGTATTTCTAATTTATATGAAATAGTCCATACTAAAAAAAGTCCCAACTTAGGTAGGACTGTTGCCCACTTTGGTGTTTTGGTTTTTCTTTTATAAATGTTTATATTTAAGGTTTATTGTTAAAATCAAATCAAATCTCATATTAATATTTAGCTTGACCTCTTGAAAGACAACTTTTCAAATTCATGTACATCCTTTCACTACGAATACTTCATTTTTAAGAGTTTAATGCCCTACTTTGTACCCTATTTGTGGAAAGCGTCTAATATCTAATATAAAAAGTGTGGTTATGATGATCAAGGCATAATTTAGATGTCAAATAAATAGACAAAATAAATGTCAACAGGATATTTCCTGGGTGACAAAGCTGGTTAAACAATGACCAAATCATTCTAATCGAAAGTACAGCCACAGTAAGGATTTCAGGCTTCTTCCATGAAAGTTATCTCATCTCTCTGGCTGGTTTCAGTCTTTAGCCCAGGTAGTCTCGCTTGATCTCAGACAGAGAATATGCCTTTTATCCCAGTGTTCCCTGGAGCTTAGTTTGTATCCGAGGAATGCGGGGGTGGAGGGGCTGTGGCAGCATCCATGTATGAGAGGAGGTGCAGGGAGGTGCCTGTCGGTCACGGTGGTGTCAGTGATGGGATTGAGGGGGGAGTGAATCCTGGATGGGTCAGTGGAGGAGGGGGGAGTGTTAGCACGAGGGACAGGAATACAGTAGAGTCTGAGGTGCAGAAGTCAAAAAAGGGTAGGGAGCAGATCACAGGACAAAACAAGAGGTAACATTTGAGGGAGGTATGTTTGAATGCACTATAGAAAAGGCATTTCCTGGTTGCAAAACTGCACTGAATATAACATGAGTTTGTAGTAGACGTCTCACTAGCTATCTGCCTGAGAGGCTAGATAGAGCAGAAATTGTGAAGACGCTGCAGGCAGTGGCGCAGCGCAAATCTGTAAATGAATATTCCGAAGTGGAGTAAACTTCAACGGATTTCCCCTGCTCAGGGAGTAGGGAGCAATGGACACTGTGTAGGGAGCATGCCAATCAGAACACAGTTCATACACGGAGCTCACATCTTACGAGATGATCTGAATCAGGTGTGTTAACAAAGAGAGACGTGCAAAACATGCAGAGCGGGGGTACGCGAGGACTGGAATTGAGAACCGCTGTTCTAGAACAATTCTTACAAATATAACACGACGTAGCTGGGCGCCGCGGACAGACGCCGAACGGTGCCGCCGGTGTGCCTACACTCATAGAAAATAATGTATTTGAATTTTAAAGACGTGGCGCGACGCTGCGCTTCTCATCTGGTGCGCGACCGCCTGAAACGCTGTTTTTTTCACCTCCGTGCCAAACGTCTTTGTTTGGGCTTCCGAAAGCGGATGATGTCAGGAAACAGTGGTTGCAATTTACTTTTTAACTCCGTTCCGGAGCATTATAACCCCAATTTGCTATTGTATGCTGCCCATTTTACTGAGGACAGCTTCCACATCACGAGTGAGAAGTGCCGGATTCACCAAAAGCTTTTGTTGAAAGATGGAGCAAGGGGCATGGCAGTACTGAAACACCGTCTAAGCTGTTCGCCAATCACAACGCACTGGGAAAGCTAACCAATCACAACACATTTTGTTTTTCGGAAGGTGGACCTTCATCAAAGCCGGAACTAATCGAGCCCTTTGTGCCAGCCTGGGGAGAGAGGTATTGTAATAATGTAAATTATGTGAAAAATAATGCGTTTTTCGAACCACCAAGCATGAGAGCATGTTCTAGTACACCCCCAAAACTAAATCAAGACTTTGTAAAAGAGCATAACAGGACCCCTTTAAATCTTCTTTGATTCTTCTGTAATTCTGTGGTGCTGATTATTACTGTACTATTTATTGTCACGTAGCATGAATATTTTATTAAATATTTAGGTGAGGTAAACTTTATAACGTCTATCATTAATTATAATATTGCAAGGATGGGAGCATTCTAGAAGATTCTGTAACATTAGTTTTTTTTCATGAGCACTGTTAATGATTAGGGTTGCAAAAAGGTGGAAAATTTCCAGTAATTTCGGAAACATTCTAGAAATGTTGGACACTTTCCAGGATTTTTTTGAATAATCCAGGGATTTTTGGAAAGTTTCTGGAAATTTACCGGAAATTTTTCAACCCCATTGCAACCCAATTAATGATACACAAAAAGTAATGTTTTTTTTTTCATATTTAGCATGTCAAAATTCATAAAGAAATATTAAATATATAATACATAAATATATAAAACAATTTTTATTGCTTACTATTCATGAATTAATCACTGTGAAGCTAAATTAATAATATATTTACTATTAATATTAATTATTACCATTAATGATGTGTTTTACTGATACAGATTAAGTATTATTATTACTAATTAAAATTACAAGTAATAAATGAAAACTAAATAATTGTTACTATTATTATAAAAAATAGCAAGGTCATGGGAAAGCAGATGGTAAGACAGATGTAAGGTGACAAGAAAAGAGGGCTGAATGATTTCAAAGAATAGAATATACTCGAGAAAAGAAAATTGAAGGCGAGTATTTTAGTCTATTTACTAGTTTAGACGGGGTTGTGTTTGGTTAGTGAGAAGAATTAATACAAATGAATGAGAATCAATTTAAGTTAGAAACTGTCATCAGAAAGGGATGTTCACCTGTCTGTTGATTCCAGCTTTAACTTGCCAAGGAAAAGTACTAGTACTGAGACTATCTGTATTATTTTCAGTTTTGACGAAGGAGAAGACAGGACAGGACAGTCACAAAGTCAAAACCAGAAAGTCGACCATTTCAGCTTTCTCTTATACCCCACTATTCAATTTATCCAGCTGAGATTGAGTTGGATGGTTTGGACTAGAATCAAGAACGGATGCAGATACTGATTTGCCCAGCCAAAGGAAAAAAATAACTGATCCAAAGCCAATCACGAAGACTCCCTCAGAAATGCACTGATTGGTTGAAGCAAGTCTATGAAGGGTTGAAAACAGGAGTGTACATACCTTGCCTTATGAAAAGGCCACTGGGGTTTCAGAACATCAGACTAAAACAAAGTTTAGACAAAAAAATATCTATAACATTAAGAAACGAGGACCAAATTTTCATAAAACAGACCAACATATCCAACACTCCCACGATAATCCCACCCCACCGTCTGATTTAATTTCTTTTCAATAGTTCAAGTTTAAGGCAAAGCTCTGCACAGCACAATAATACCCCTCGGGAGACAAAGCAAGACGGGGAAAAAAAGAGACTACTACAGGCATTTCACGTCAAGAGAGAGTTTGTTGTTGTCAGCCCAGCAAGCGTTTTCTCCTGTGCTGAAGCAGCCATCTGCACAACATCAAAGCAAAACAGCACGAAGCACCTTCAGCACCAGTCACCAGCCAGCACCACAACCTCACACCAGCTCACCAACACAGCAGCAGCATCCAACAGCCCAAATATATAATTTATAAGTGCTGCACTCTGCCAAAGTGATGTTAACTGGCTGTGCGGGGGCCTGAAGTAACAAAGCTCTGCACAGCACAATAATACCCCTCGGGAGACAAAGCAAGACGGGGAAAAAAAGAGACTACTACAGGCATTTCACGTCAAGAGAGAGTTTGTTGTTGTCAGCCCAGCAAGCGTTTTCTCCTGTGCTGAAGCAGCCATCTGCTCAACATCAAAGCAAAACAGCACGAAGCACCTTCAGCACCAGTCACCAGCCAGCACCACAACCTCACACCAGCTCACCAACACAGCAGCAGCATCCAACAGCCCAAATATATAATTTATAAGTGCTGCACTCTGCCAAAGTGATGTTAACTGGCTGCGCGGGGGCCTGAAGTAACAGCAGGGAATCAGATTAACCTGCTTAGAGGTCTTATTGCATTAAAATTGTGAGAAGCTCACCTCCTCTTGTCCGATTGGCTGCCTCTGGGGCTCCTGGGGAGGGTTTCGATTTCCATAGGGCCTGGTGCAGAGGGTGGGCTGCTGACCATAGGCATACCAGACCAGGGAGGCCGTGTTTGGGAGGGCTGAGGGAAAAAGCGTGTGGGATGCATTAAGGTACTGCAAAAACTCAAAGCAAAACAGCCTTTCCAAGCCAAATGAGCTAAATATGTAGTATATACACTAACAAATAAACAGGTTTATTTTTATCAAGTCAAATTCATAATTAACATTAATTTATATTATTAAAATTGTGATGTGAAATTGTTTCAAAAGTTTGGGGTCAGTAAGATATTTCTTTTAGTCTCTTATGCTCACCACGGTTGCATTTCATTTGATCAAAAACAATAACATTTTAATATTTGTGAAATTTTAAATAAGCATTGTCTATAATATACTTTCAAATATTATTTATTGCTGTGATGGCACAGCTGAAGTTTCAGCAGCCTTTACTCCAGTTTTAAGTGTAACGTGATCCTTCAGAAATCATTCTAATATGCTGATTTAGTGCTCAAAAACATTTCTTATTACCGGTATTATCAGTATTATCTGTATTTTTGTATAACAGAAAGAAGGTTTTACCTTTGTTTCTAAGCTTGGGCTCACTCCGTTATTGTGGTTACTGTGGAAAGAGAAGAAGAAAATGCAAGTGATATTAAAACTAATGTCAGGGATTATGAGCTACTGCTGACTGACTTCAGTAGGCAGCACAAAGATGGTCCTTATAGAGGTGACCAGAAAATGTGGTCAAGTCAAACCAACACTGGATCATGATGAGCTAAGACATTCCTAATGTTGTTTTCAGCATGTGACCAGATCTTTAAAAATACAATTAGTAAAACAATCATATTTGTGAAGCATTATTGTATTAGTCACATCATGAGTCTTGAAAATTCCCCATAAATCAGCACCACAAAAGTGCCAGCACATGATGCTGTTCATGTTTGAAACTTTAACACCAGCTGCATCACAGTCCAAGTAGGAGTGCTTATAAGACTAAAGTGGAACACTCAGTCTGACAGCATGTGCTTAAGCTGACCGACTAGTGATGCATTTTACCCCTGGAATAAGAATGAAAAACAGTAGTAGTAATACTTAATGTTTTAAATTACATTCAAATCATGCTTAAAACAACTCAAAATAAAAATCATTGTTTGAAAGCATCTCTGTAAAGCACAATGTACTTATAAACATAATAATTTAGAAAAGCACCTCTCAATACAATACTGACTGCCTTATTGGTCATTTTGATATAAAATAAAAACAATCTAAAAAAGCTCTGGGCATTAAATCATTCATCATTTATAAACAGTCACTATACACACTGCACTATATATTAATACTACCATAGCAACTAGAATACACTGGTATGGTAACACAACTGAGTCCATAGAAGATCTGAACAGCTCTGAACAGTGTGTTTGTGTGCTTTCAAATGACACATACTTTATAACTGATGTTGAAACAGGAAGTCACCTCATCACTATACGAGAGCCATAAGAACTCCATTGCACAATGCAGGAATGTAAAATACTTACTCTGAGGATTTGTTAAGACCTGCGTGGAAACAAAAAATAAGCATGTTATTATGTAAGATCACAAAGCTGAGGTCACAACAGAATAATGAGCATGGAAGTGAATCAGTGTTGGGGTTTCAAAATAGTTTATATGGCTCAAAGCATTAAAGCAAGTTAACTATATGAAAAAGGAGTTGCTGAAAACAAAAGCTGATTAGATTAAAACTATTTATAAAAAGCAAAAATGGACATAAAAGACTGCACAAAAACATCTGGAAAAAAACAACTAAGTGATGACTGGTTCACTGTAACTAATTGGACTATTACTTGTTGGGACTAAGAGAATAAATGCATAAAAATAAGAAAAGAAAAACCTACTGGTCCTAAATACAGTTAAACCACAGTTTTAACAGGGGGGCAAACACTTCTTCACACAGGGCCATGTAGTTTTAGATTTTGTTTTCCCTTAATAATAAAAACCTTCATTTAAAAACGGCATGTTGTGTTTACTTGTGTTATCTTTGACTAATATTTACATTTGTTTGATGATCTGAAACATTAATATGTGACAAACATGTAAAAAAACAAGAAATCAGGAAGGGGGCCAACACTTTCTCACACCACTGTATGTATTATATTTTTAAATATATGAATCCCCCAAGACAACACAAGACAGATTCTCTCACCTCGGTTCTGCATGGTCCTTTTAGAGTAACGCCGACTTGGTCTTCTTTCAAATGAGGCAGATCGTCTAGCTTTGTTGGCCTTAGTTGTCTGATATTCTGTCTTCCCACTTCCCACAAATAAAAGAAATTAACGTTAGTTACACATATATCTTTAAAACCTTCTTGATAAATCCCTGCTGACTTGATAAGACTGCAGGCATTTACTTTTACAGGCTTAGTGCAATGAAAGTCTAATGTTGTCTGAAAGAGAAAAGCCACTGTTCTTTGGAGGATAAATAGCCCAACCAGCATTAGCAAACTTTTTTTTAAGAGAGAGAGAGAGAGAGAGAGAGAGAGAGAGAGAGAGAGAGAGAGAGAGAGAGACAGGTGAAATCAAAGATAAGTGAATTCATTGACGTAAAAAAAATAGGTTAATTCTGGAGCGAGGATAAGTGCTAAAATAAGTGCAGGCAAATAAAAAGCCTGGCCAATAGGGAGCTGAACTGGACAGCGTCAAAACTCCGGGCTGGCAGCTGGAGATAAGATACAGTTCCATAGTAAGGACAACAAACACACACACACACACACACACGCCTGGAGCAGACCATGCTACGATTTACAACTTAGCAGAAGATATTGTTAGGAGGATCTATGAAAAACTGGAAGTCTCGTCTCAAACCAGGGAAAAAGAAAATAACATTCAGCTGACCACTGGGCATGATTAGAAAGGATTTATACCAAAATCAAAAGAGAACACCAGCCTCTACTGAAGCCACTGCAGATGCAAAAGTAGAGATGTATCACTTTTAAGAGCTTCAAATAAATTAAATTTAAAAAGCAAATTATTATTACACAATTATTAAATCTGACATGCCATAGGATAGGAAACATCATTATGTGGCTGCTTCCAACAAAACCAAGTAACCTCAAACAGATTTTAGTGGTGCTTGGCCATGCAAAACTTGCCTCCCCAATGCTTGTTGGGCATTGCCACGCAATTGCTGGTTTAAATGTACGCTAAGCTGACAGAGTGGTTTTATGGCTCGTTCCCACCGAGCGGTACGGGTCAGTATAGTACAGTATGGTACGATTCGGGACCGAACACCCTGATCCAGCTTGCGCTTCCACCGCCAGCAGTCCCCTTCCTTGATAGGCGTGGTGTATGCCGGAAAGTAGTGATCGATGATAAAGCACGACAATAAGCACAACTCTGCCTCTTTTTGTTAAATGTCAGTTTTAATGAACAATAATAGCCATTATAAAAGTATAAGTACAAAGTATAAGAGGCTTATATAAGAGGAAATAAAGACAAAAGCAATCAATTCAGTCAAACGTATTCTACAAAGTCAGCGCTGTACTACGGTAAAGTTCAAAATAAATATATAAAGTTAAACATAACTTTGTGCTCAGCCAAAACGATATGACCAGGAACAAATAATAGATTCATGAGACCACGAATGCCTGTTAAATATACCCAAAACGAATTGTATCTCATCTTTAATCACTACAGAGACATCAGAGCCAGTGGCAAATGACAGAAGGACTAGCCGAGCTAAGGCTGCTCTAGGCGGATACATGAGCACTGAGCACCCGGTGATCGCCTGGAGCTCCGAAATTGATGGAGCAAATTTTCAAATAGGTGCTATCTTTATAAATAAACCACAGATTTTGAGTTTTAAAGGAGACATATTATGCCCCTTTTTACAATATGTAATATATCTCAGGTGTCCCCAGAATGTGTCTGTGAAGTTTCAGCTCAAAATACTCCACAGATCATTTATTATATCATTTTGAAAATGCCTATTTTGAGTGGAAGCAGAAACACGCTGTTTTTCGTGCCTGTCTCTTTAAATGCAAATGAGCTGCTGCTCCCCGCCCCCTTTTTCAGAATAGAGTTGCGCCATTACAACTTATACCTGCTAAAAAAACATGTTTTGGTTCTGATTATCATGTTTATCACGCTGAAATCATGCGTTTTAAACCATATTAATTTAAACTTCTGATATACGGTTTTCTGAGTGCACACATCCGAAGCACACGGACAGAAAGTGGCTGTCACAGCATGTGAGTACTAAACTAAGTTCTCATTCACACACAAGTTTACGTTAAAAACACACGAGTTGACAAACTGACAGTCGGTTATGTCTGTGAAGGTAAACAGCTGGGAAATAAATTGCATGTTTATTTTAGATCTAAATAGTGCTCTGTGGTCATCTGTGCAGCCAAAGACAGAACAGTTAGCATGTTTTGCTCAAACTTTCACCATGGCATTACAACTGGTACACCGTTGTCGCTGGCGAAATCAAAATGATGGAGCCGTGGTTGGAAATTTACAGATTAAGGGGCGGTAATATTATAATGAAATCCCTTTGCAACGTCACTAGGGGAGCGAAATCAGACGTGCTTGTTTTTTCAGACGCTTGCAGAAAAAGGCTTACCAAAACAAAGTTACCGGGTTAATCTTTTTCACATTTCCTTGGTTGGTAGATGCACCGGGGACCTGATTATAGCACTTAAAACCTGGAAAAGTCAGATTTTCATGATATATCACCTTTTAACAACTACATTCTCGCCTGAAAAAACTCTTCATGACACAATAACAGTAATATTTTGAAAATGATGCGGGTTTTTGGGCAATGACGTTTCAAAAGAACGCATATTGAGAAACGGCTAATGTCTGTGAGAAAATATAAAATTATAAAATACACCGTTATATTTTTTTGGTTGTCGCTGGCGAAATCAAAATGATGGAGCCGTGGTTCGAAATTTACAGATTAAGGGGCGGTAATATTATAATGAAATCCCTTTGCAACGTCACTAGGGGAGCGAAATCAGACGTGCTTGTTTTTTCAGACGCTTGCAGAAAAAGGCTTACCAAAACAAAGTTACCGGGTTAATCTTTTTCACATTTCCTTGGTTGGTAGATGCACCGGGGACCTGATTATAGCACTTAAAACCTGGAAAAGTCAGATTTTCATGATATATCACCTTTTAACAACTACATTCTCGCCTGAAAAAACTCTTCATGACACAATAACAGTAATATTTTGAAAATGATGCGGGTTTTTGGGCAATGACGTTTCAAAAGAACGCATATTGAGAAACGGCTATTGTCTGTGAGAAAATATAAAATTATAAAATACACCGTTATATTTTTTTTTGTGTTTGCACACTCTGATGTAAATAAGCCCAACACTCATGGACAGCAGAGTGGAACGAGTGAAGGAGAAGCTTTATCCCCTTGTATCACGCAAAAGTGACGATTCTAGTCAACCAATCAACATTCTGCGGTGAGTTTAGCTCCACCCTTTTGGTACCCTTTGCTGTGCTAGGCACCCCCAAAGGAAGGCAGGGATTCTGCAGGATTTTTAAGCTCAAATTTAAGACCATTTTAAGACCTTTTTAAGAGCTGCACAAATAAAATGAATACTATATGAGCGGGGTAGGGCAATGTTTATAGTACCATATTAAACTGTAAAATTACTGTAAAAAGCATAACTTACAGTTCAGACACAAGTTTTCACAAAAACAAAAAGTTTTATAAAATGATAAACAACATTTCAGCCTTTAAAACATTTTTAAGAAAATAGATTAGTCAAAGGTATTAATTATTATATTTATTTAAACTATTATTATCAATAAATTATTATATCAATTAAATAACAAATTAGGGCTGTGCGACATTGACAAAAATATCTCAATAATTTTTCTGGGATTTTATCGAAAACGATAATTAGACTATATTTTGATATAGAGTGTGTTATTGTGCCGATAATCTTATCTCTAATTGTGCTAGCAGCTGACTCCTGAATTTTTTTATATTCTTTATATTCTGTGTGGTCAGTTCACAGCAGTGATAGAAATCAATTATTTCCAACAAGTTTTATGGGCATTTTTATCTTTAAGCAATTTTTTCTAAAAGTGTGCACCATCTTTTAAGTCAAATTCTTGCATTTGGGCTGTTACCAAGCAAATTAAATCAGTATCAACAAAATTGATCTTTGCAATGCAGAGAAACACAGAAGCGGCATTAGAAGTGGCATTTAGATGCATTTACACACTGTTTAATGCAGCTCTGAGGGACATGGGATACTTTAACCAGCAGTTACAAATGCATAAATAATGTTTTGATATTTTAAACATAAAACATTAAAAACTGATGTTTGAAATTATTTAAAAATGAAAAGGTACCTTAAATGTCAAATTAAAACCACCAGTAGGTGGCAGCAAGTCACTGTTAAGTGAGCCATAGCAATTGATCTGAATCATTTAAACGGTCGATTCATTCAGAAACAAAACAGCGTCCTGTTGCTCAGAGACGCAAAACAAGCTCTGTGGCTATGTTTGGAATGATATTTGTTGGCGAATTAGAGCAAAAACAGGAAATATGGCATCTAAAACGTAAGTCTCTTAAAGAGGTCATATGATGCGATTTCAAGTTTTCCATTCTCTTTGGAGTGTTACAAGCTGATTGTGCATAGATAAGATCCCTGAAGTTGCAAAGACTAAAGTCTCAAAACCAAAGAGATATTCTTTATCAAAGTTAAGACTCCCCTAAAATGGCTCGTTCTAACACGCCCCCACACATCTACCTCACTGTGTGAAAATATTAGCATAATGCCGCCCAAATGTTCAAGCAAAGAAAGAAGGCGTGGTTTCAGTAACCGCAGTTAGTGTTGAAGCAGCCATGTCAGGGAGACGCTGTGTGTTTCTAGGCGAAAGCAAAAGCGCTTTATTTGGCCTTCCGAAAGTAGATGCATTTAGGAATCTTTAAGATGACTTACAACAGAACAGCAATGCATTTTATGGATGACCGTTTCGTGAACCTAGGAGAGGAGGTAATTCTGACTTTGCAAAGACAATCTGGCGCTTCTGAATCAGCTACTGTTTTGTTATTAGTTTAAGTATTTGCTATTGACTGTTCAAATGCGGAGTTTTGCACATCGTGTTGTGTGTGTGTGTGTGTGTGCGCGTGCGAGAGAGCGAGAAGGGGGGGGTCCCATCACAGTGGAGTCAGCTGTCTTAACCGTGGCTTGTGTACTGCAAACTAGGGATGCTCCGATCCGCCTTTTTCGCCTCCGATACCAATTTCGATACCTAGGGTTCGGTATTGGCCGATACCGATCCGATACCAGTGAAGTTTTTTTCCCTCATTTAAATAAATGTAGAATTTATATATCTCTGTGTGTGGAACTGATATTCATTCTTTCACAATCTACTAGATACAGACTACTTCATTATAAAGAAAAATAAAATAAACAAATATGAAAAAATATAGGCCTATGTATATTTATAATCTATGACAAAAATGTATCATAAACTAGGTTAGTGGATAATTCGGCAGCAAAAGTTAATCATTGCACAATAATTTTAGAAATCCAAACATTTAGTGAAAAACAATATTTTGTGGGGAACAAATAAAAATGCTAAATATGGTAAAATGTTACACATTGCTATTTGTATTATTATAAAATCCATTCATTAAAAACATTAATGAATGTATTTATATATAAGTATATACTGTAAAATTAAAATCCATTTATTTTAAATGTATAGCATATTTTTTAATAAGGCAACAACATATGATAGATACGATAGGACAAAACAAATACAGTGCAGCACGAACTGTTTTTATACAGTCAACCCTCAACGGTTATATATACAAGTTATGCGATTTTACAAACATATATAATGTTTGTAAAATGGTACAGCTTTTTAAATATCTGAAAGTACACTCTTAATATCAGTCAGTCAAGCAGTCAAGCATTATAATATGATAATCAAGTATTATTTAATAATA